TCAGGCCTCAATTTTCTCATCTGTAAAACTAAGAGGTTGGTTTAGATGGCCTCTGAAGGTCCTCCTACCTCCAAATTGATGATGCTATATAACGCCATTTACTATTGGTTGCCCTTATAGCTAGTAAAAGGGAGTTTGAGAAGTTATAACTGGATGGTTGTCTGCTTGCAGACCTATGATGAAACAGACTACCTTTCCCCTACTGAACAGCAGGGATGATGGTGCAAGATGATACTATTACGCTGCCTCCCTGGAGGAAGATAGTCAGTGGCCTGTCTAGAAAGTGAGCCAAACTGAAGGATTTTTTTGTTTGCATTTTTGGGGTAAGTGTCATTGGTCTGAGTGCTAAGGGGCCGGTAGAAAGAACAGTTTTCTTCCTTCTAGGTTCCCGCTTTGCAGGGACTCCTTTCTTATTTCTAGGCAGTGAGGATGGTCCAGAGTTTGAATTTACTAAGATTCTATAGGGAGGGTCTTTGTGCTGCCTTCCCAAGCACAAGGAAAAGCAATAATTAGGTGATTTACCTGATTATGTAAATAGTCTTATCCTAAAACCTACTTCACTTACCAGGAGAGAAATGGATTGGATGGCTCACACTTAAAAATAAGGGTTGTTATTAAGGTTGGCCTTGAACATTTTCCAGGCTAGCTTCTACTGACCAGGGGAGGGAGGCTAATTTGAGTCCAATGTGGCACAATAGAAAGAACCTTAGATTGTAAACAAAAGAGAGCTGTGTTTGAATCCCACCACTTCGTGTTAGCTAGTATGTGTCCACTGGCAATTCAGGGAGTTAGTCAACAAGAATTGATTAAGGTCTTACTATGTTCCAGGCACTGTACTAAGTATTGGGGACACAAAACAGAAAAAAGTCAAAAACACAGACCCTGCCCTCAAGGAACTAACATTCTCAAAGGGCAGATAACTATAAGATATATACACTGTAAAGAAAGGTAATCTCATAGGAGAGGCACTAGTAGAATGGGAGGAAGAGAAGGATGGGGAAAGGCCTCCTGCCGACTGTGAGGAAAGAGAGCTTCCTTGGCTTGAGATACATCCAGTGCAAAAGCCTGGAGTCCAGACATGGGATGTCGTATTTGAGAAACAGCCAGTGTCTCTGCACGGCAGAGAAGGAGAGTAAAACTTAAGATGACCAGGAGGTAGAAAGGGGCCAGGCTGTGAAAATTTTTAAATGCCAAAGAGAGGATCTTCTAGTTGATCCTGGAAGTCATAGCCACTAGAGTTTATTAGGTGTGGGAGTGACGTGGTCAGGTCTTTGCTTTAGGAAAACCACTTTGGCAGCTGAGTCGAAAATGGATTGTAGTGGGGAGAGACTTGAGGCAGGGGAATCAACCAGAAGAGTATTGAAATCGTCTCAGTGTGAAGGTGATAAGGACCTGTACGACAGGTAGCAGCTATAGGACAGAAGAGAATAGGACATATAGGAGAGGTATGAAGAAGGTAGAAATGACAAGACAGCATCAGATTAGGCGAGATAAGTGTAAGTGAGGAGGCAAGGATGACAACCAGGGTAACTGAGAGGATGATAATGCCGTTCATAGACATGAGGAGGTAAGAAGGGTTTGTTTGAGAGGAAAGATAATGAGGTTTGTTTTGTACATGTTGAATTTGAGATGCTTATGGGATATCCAATTCATGATATATAAAAGACATTTGGTGATGTGGGATTTGAAGTCAGGAAAGACGTTAGGGCTAAAGAGAAATAGATCAGTATAGACATAATAATTGAACCCATTAAAACTTATGAGATCACGAAGAGGAAGAAGAGAAGAGGGCCTAGGAATGAGCCTTGGGGGATACCCACGATTCATGGAGAAGAGTGGCCAAAAAGAAAAGAGGAGAATCAAGAGAGATCAGTGTCATAAAAACCTAGACTAGAGAAAATAATCCAGCAGAAGAGGATGATCTGTGGTTGCAAAGCTTGCAGAGGAGTCAAGAAGAATGAGGATTGAGAGAAGGCTATTGGATTTGATCATCCAGATCATTGGTAACTTTGAAGAAAGCAGTTTTAATGGAAGGATGAGGTCAGAAGCCAGATTGTAAAAGGTTTAGAAGAGAATGAGAAGAAAGAAAGAAAGAAAGAAAGAAAGAAAGAAAGAAAGAAAGAAAGAAAGAAGAGTAGTATAGATTACTTTCTCAAGGAGTTTATCCATAAAGGGAAGGAGAGAGAGATATAGGCTAGTAACTCACAGGGTTGGCTGGATCAAGTGAGGATTTTTAAGGATGGAGAAGACGTGGGCATGTCTAGAGGCAGTAGGAAAGCAGTTGGGAGATAGGAAAAGATTGAGGATTAGTGGAGGGGAGACAGGGATGATAGAGGAGGCAGTCTACTGGAAAAGACAGGATGGGACGGGATCAAAAGTGCATATAGATGGTTTTACCTTGATGAGAAGGGTCACCTCTTTATGTGAGACAAGGGTAAAGGAGCTAATAGGTGTAAGTGTCTAATGTGAGATGAAAAAGAGATGGATCGAGGAAACTCCTAGCAAATAGCCTCAATTATTTTCATGAAGGTGAGGCAAAATCCTCAGCTGAGGGCATAGGAGGAAGGGACACCATGGAATACTTGAGGAGGGATGACAAGGTTTTGGACCAGCAAATATGGTGGTGAGTAAGACAGTGAACCTATTAGGAATATGTTAAAAGGATTGCCTTACTGCAATTCTGCCCAATTGAGATTGTGTAAATTTGTAGTTAATCTGGTTAGCAAGATTTCACGAGCTCTGGTAAGCAGCAGGTAAATCAGAACAAAGGCAGGAAATAGTGAGAGTGTTCAAAAGTTGGGGTTTTATAAGGCGTGATCAGTGATGTCATTGGAGTGTTGAGGATAGTATAAAGTTGATGATAAGGAGTCAAGGGGGTAAATGAAAGAGAGTGTAGCAAAGGTGATGGCTTGGGAAAGAACTCTGAGGGGTGAGGGATTGGAGGTTATGGTGAGGATGAAGAAGTGGCTTAAGGGTCATAAGGCAGAGAGATGGAGTGATAAAAGATTATGATCAGATAAAATAATTTTGCATTCATGAATATGGAATCCACCTTTGTGGGTGATGGTAATATCAAGGATGTGGCTATCTCTACGTGAGATAGATGAGGTGTGTGCCTCATAGGTAGGTCATGGAAATGGAGTGGATTGAGGAACTGGGCAGTTCAGATACTTGAGGAAGTATCAATATGTATGTTAAAGTCCATTCCCTAATATGAGGGTTGGGATTGGGGCAAAGAGAGACTGTAGGCCAAGCACTGAACTCTTTGAAAAAGAAAAGAGAATATACCAAGGTTACCGAGAAGCACAGATAAACCTTGAGGTAGCAGAGGGAAGGGTTGCAAAAATTACATTTCAGGCAAATGCCCAATTATTTCCATTAAACCAGCTGAAAAGTTACCCAGCAACATCAGACCCAGGAAATAATAAGTTTCGTTGCTGCAAAAGAGACTATCTAACGTAACCAAAAGGTTTACTCCAGGCCTATGTTAGCTACCTAGCCAGTATTACAGGAGTAGGACACGTCATGTGTGGGGTTCCATTCTCCACATCTGCAACTTGGAAAGACTGGGAGGAACTCCCTGCCCCCTGCAGGCCCTTTGGAAGGCCATGCTTTTCTCTGCCCTTCCATTCAAGGTCAGACCACGGCTTCTTTCCTCTGAAAGACTCGGCACACATCATCATGACCATGTTGCTGCTTAGTTATGTCCGGCTCCTCGTGAACCTGTTTGGGGTTTTCTCGGCAAAGATACCAGAGCGATTTGCCATTTTCTTCTCCAGCTCATTTTACAGATAGGGGAACTGAGTCCAAGAGAAGTGACTTGAGTTGCAGCAGGGCCAGGATCTGAACCCAGGTTCTCTCACTCCAAAGCCAGGGCTCTTTCCACTGAGCACACTGCTTCCTCACCGTAGGCGTTGTTTGGGTCCATCCCAGCACAGCAGCCCGGAGGAATCCCACCGGTGACAGCGACTCCTCTGAATCCACTCTCCTCCCTCTGGCTCTGTTAACTGCCCAGTGGTAATAAGATAATTCAGGGATTCATGTTGTCTCCTAAAATGAGGGTGTGACAGCATGGTCACAGGCTTGCTTTGGTCTGATTGTCACCCTGTGGAGGAGTCGGCAGAGGCCCTGGAACCAGAGTAAGGAAAGTAAAATCTCTTCTTCCTCCACACTCCACTTCACCACCACCGCCGCCACCACCTAGCTCCTGCAAGATAGGTAGGACAGGTATTATTGTGCCCATTTTACAGATGAGAAAACTGTCCAGGAAAGGTGAATCAACTTTGGGGCCACCCAGTGACGTTTGTAGCAGAACTAAGACTAGAATCGAGCCTTCCTAATTTCTAGTCCATGATTCTTTCTGTGCACTGAATCTCAATAGCGATACATACGTGCCTTTGTAACTCTCCCCTTCTTTCTGTCCTATAACTTATATTTCTTTTTTCTGCTTTTGCCTTACCTCATTACCAAAACTGGTCTGTTATTCTGACCACTGCTGAAGTAGGTAGGGAAAGAAAGAAGAAAACAAGCATTTATTAAGCACCTAATATATACCAGGCACTTCACAAATATTTGATCTTCACAACAACCCTGAGGTATTTGCTCTTATCATCCCCATTTTATAGTTGAGGAAACAAAGGCAGACAGAGGTTAAATGACTTGCCAAGGGTTACACAGCTAGTAAGTGTCTCAGGCTGAATTTAACAATAATAATAGCTAATATTTATGTGGCGCTTCCTATGTGCCAGGCATTGTGGTTAAAGTCTTTGCAGTTATCACATTTGATCCTTACCACAACCCTCTAAAATAGGTGCAATTATTATCTCCCTTTTACAAATGAGGAAACTGAGGTAAAGAGGTTAAGTGGCTTGCCCAGGTCACAAAGCTAGTAGGTGTCTGAGGCTGAATTTGAACTTGGGCATTCCTGACTCTAGTTCTCTATCTACTGGACTGCTTCTGGGGAGCTAAGGAGCTCACAGTCACTCTCCTCTCTTCTCTAGTATCATCAAGAGGTTTGTCCAAACTTTTAAGTACTTTTATGGGCTCCGGTTTGAGACACGGTGAAGAGAAACTGCATGATAGCAAGCCATGTGTCATCATCTCCAACCATCAGAGCATCTTGGATATGATGGGTAAGCTGGGCCCCTACTGCATTCTGGGTTGGGGGTAGGAAGACAGTGCCTTAGAAACTGCTTGTTTAGCAGGTCCTCCCTCCCTAAATTTCACCGACTGCTCACTCCCCTTAAGTGAGAGGTGTGTTGCTAAGTGCAGCTGCTATTTTAGGTGGAGAAAGGAACTGGTACTTGAAGGGAGTGAAGGTTGGCTGACTGGAAGGAACCAGGATCCTTGGGTTGCTTTTCTTGAGTCATTGTATACACGACATTTTATGGCTATTCTGGCCTGTAAGATCAAAGCTGCTCTTAGATAATGAAAAGAGATGGGAAGGGAGGGGATAAGATGGGAAGCAAATAAAGTTTTTAAATTGCGTATTTAATTTCATCAGAAGGTAGTTCATATCTGAAGATTTTATTTGGGATTTCTTCTCATTTTATTTATTTGATTGGATTTGTTGATATCATTACTAAGTTAATCATTTTTTTAAAAATATTCTTTTTATTAAAAAAATTATTTTTTAAAAAAGGCCTCTTTAGGGTCTGGGCATACCTTATATGATCTTTTATGCTTCTCTTATCTCCTACTACTCTCTATATAATCTACACCTATAGCCAGTCTGAATTATTCATATTTCTCAAGACCTTCCCTGTGTTTTCCTGTCATCTCCATACCATTCTGTTCCCTCTGCCTAGAACAGGTTTTGTGACACTTTTTTAGAGGTGGTCCCTATGGATAAAGGCTGTGCCTGGGAGCATCTAGGGTGGGATGGTCCTTCCCTTTTCTCTCCCTGTGACTCTGCCCTGGTCTTAGGTCTGATGGAGATCCTCCCAAGAAACTGCATCCAGATTGCCAAGAGGGAGCTGCTTTACATGGGCCCTGTGGGCCTAATCATGTATCTCGGGGGTGTCATCTTCATCAACAGAAAGCGGACAAGCACAGCCATGTCAGTGATGGAGGAGGTGGGAAACACCTTGGTTCAGAAAAATGTGAGTCTGGCTTGGTGTCAAAGGTGCAGTAGGGGTCCCTACCTAAGAGGAGGTGGGGCATGATAGAAACCTGGAGATTTCTATTTCTAGAAGTTCAGGGCACTGGGTTCTAATTCTGGCTCTGGTACTAACTAGCTATGTGGCTTTAGTAAAGCTACAGAAAGGTTACGATCTGAGCCTCATTTTCTCTAATGTGCTTAAGGTGAGTCTGAATGACTCTTTATCAGAGATGCTGTGGAAGGGATTCCTACATAGGATGGGACTGTGGGCGAGCTAGTTTTTGAGGTTTCTTCCAAGGCTAAGATTCTAGAATTCTGTGATCCTTAAAGAGGGTGATGTCAGAGATAAACTTTTTCCCCATCTTTTTTTTCCCTCTCTTCTGTGACAGCTGAAGGTGTGGATTTATCCTGAGGGAACACGGAATGAAAGTTATGACCTTTTGCCATTCAAGAAGGGTGCCTTTTATCTGGCTGTTCAGGCCCAGGTGATATATTTGGGGACAAGCTGGGGAAAGGCTTCCATTCAGGGGCCATCTTCTGGGAGGGGTAGGATTTGGAGTGAAGCACTTAGGGCAATCCAGAGCTCAGTATTGTTTTGTCTTTGTAACTCTAGTGTTTAGCTCAGTGCCTAGAACATAGTGCTTAATAAATACTTGATTAATGGACAAAAGGAACTGACTTTCCTTCCTCTCCCCACAACCTTCAAATCTCAAGCTTTATTCCTAGTTAGTCAAAGAGTAATCACTCAATACTTCCTCTAGGAGTGGGAGAGGCAATCAATAAACATTTATTAAGTGCATACTACTGTATGCATACACATGCTAAGTACTAGGGATACAAAAAGAGGCAAAAGATAATCCCTGCCCTCAAGGATCTTACATTCTAATGGGGGTGAGACAATAAACAAATATATACAAAGAGGCTATGCACAGTCTAATTAGGAAATAAATGAACAGAAGGAAGATGCTAGAATTAAGAGAGACCAGGAAGGTCTTCCTGAAGATGACATTTTTAGTTAAGACTTAAAGGAATCCAGGAGGCTGAAAATGAAGAAGGGGAGAGCATTCTAAGCAGGGGTTAGAAAACCAGAGAAAATGCCCTGAGCCAAGAGATGGAGTGTCTTGTCCATGAAAGAGCAAGGAGGCCAGTGTCCCTGGATCCAAGTGTATGTAGTAAGGAGTAAGGTATAAGAGGATGGAAAGGTGGGAGGATGCTAGGTTATGAAGGGCCTTGAATGCCAGGGAGAGAATTTTGTATGTGATCCTGGAGGCAATAGGAAGCCTTGGGAATCTATTGAGTAGGAAAGTGACATAGTTAGACCTGTGTTTTAGGAAAAATCACTTTAGTGGCCAAATGGAGGATGGATTGGAGTGGGGAGAGACTTGACAGGCAGATTTACGAAGGCTATTGCGATAGTCTAAGTGAAAGCTGATGAGGACGTGTGCCTGAGTAGTGGCAATGTCAGAGGAGAGAGGGGGGCCATATTCAAGACATGTTACATAGGTAAAATGGACAAACATTAGCAACAGATTGAAAATGGGAGGTGAGAGATAGTGAGGAATCCCAGCTAACTCCTAGGTTTTGAGCCTAAAGGACTAGGAGGATGGTGTTGCCCTCTACAATAATAGGGAAGATAGGAGGCAAGGAGAATTTAGGAGGAAAGATAATTAGTTCCATTTTGGACATGGTGATTTTAAGATGTCCACTGGGTATCCAGTTTGAGATGTCTGAAAGGCATTTTCTGGAGTTCTTGTTTAACAAATCTACATAACAGTAGATATGAGAATCATCAGCATAGAGATGGTCATTAAGTCCATGGGAACTAATGAGATCACCAAGGAAGATAGTATGGAGGGAGAAGACAAAAGGGCTCAAGAGAGAGCCCTAAGGAATGCCTGCGGTTAAAGGGTGTGATCTGGTTAAGCAACCAGCAAAGGAAACTAAGAAGGAGCAGTCAGGTGGGAAGAGAACTGGGAGAAAATGGTCTCCTGAAAACCTAGAGAGTGTCGAGGAGGAGGGAGGAGGAGGAGGGCTGAGAAAAGGCCAGTGGATTTGGCAACTAAGAGATCATTGGTAACTTTGGAGAGAGCAGTTTGGGTGGAATGATAAGGTGGAAAGCTAGAATGTAAGTGGTTAAGAAGAGAATGAGATGAGAGAAAGTGGAGACACTTATTGTGGACAGCCTTTGCAAGGAGTTTAGCCACAAAGAGATGGAGGACAATAGTTGACAAGGATGGAAAGAATCAGGTGATGGTTTTTTGAGGATGGGGAAGATGGGCATTTTATAGGCACTAGCGAATGAGCTAGAATAGAGGAAAGATTGAAAATAAATGATAGAGATGGGGTGGAAAAAGGAGCAATCAGATGAGACTGGCAAAAATGGAATCATTTGAGCAGGTAGAAAGGTTAAGCTTGATAAGGAGTAAGGCCCACCTCATGTGAAATAAGGGTGAGGGAGAAGCTAGTGGCAGAAGGCATTTGAGTGATATGACATGACAAAGGGAGTTCATGGCAAGTAGCCTCAGTTTTTTCTATAAAACATGAAACAAGTCTCTGAGTTCGGAGAGTGGAGGAGAGGGATCCATGGGAAGTTTGAAGAGGGATAAAAATTTTTGTGTAATGGTATAGTGAAATAATAAGACAGGTGTAGAAGGATTGCCTAGCAGCAGTGAGGGCCCAGTTGAGGGGTTAATTAGTAGTGGACCCAGTTAGAGGAGTTGTATGGTTTTTTTTCTCTACTTTCCTTCAACAGCACCTGTATAGGTGAGCAGGAAGTGAATGGTGGGCGTGATCCAAGGCTGAGATTTGGCTGGGTTTAATTGTTGAAAAAAGGGGGCTAGGGATTCAAAAGAAGAATATATAGAGTTGAATTGGTTCACCAAGGGGTCAAGATGGGGAAGAGGAGACAGGCTAGTACAGGAGAGATGGCCTGAGAAAAAATTGTAGAGTTAAGAGATTGGAGGTTACAGGGTGGAAGAAGAGTAAGGTTTTATAAGGGAAGACCAAGGGAGAGGAGAAAAGCCAATGGATTATAGTAAGATAAGGGGATTTGGGAGTTCTTAAATGTGGAGTTAGTACATTTATGGATGATGGCAAGGTCAGAGGTGTGGCTGTCTTTGTGCCTAAGGAGGGCTGGAGGTGTAGCTCATGGGAAATGAGCAGGTTGAGGAACTGAATGGTTAGAGTATTTGAGGCACAGTTATATGTACATCAAAGTCCCATAGTATGAGGATAGGAAGGAGAAAAGAGAAAAATTGTGAGCCATGTACTGCACTCATTAGGGAAAGAAGGGAAGTGACTTAGAGATCTTTAGACAACAAGATTTTGATTGGGTGGTAGTTATGAGTAGAATGAACCTCAAAAGAGGTAAACTGGCACTTGAAAATGATCAAAATGGCCAACGAAGCCGTGTCATCAGTGGGAAGCTAAGTTTCAGTAATAGCAAGTAGATAGAAGAAGTAAGAGAAGGAACATTTAGGATGAAGGGAAATTTGTTGCCTATGGAGCAGGCATTCCAGAGGGTACAGTGGAATGGTTGGGTGGTATTTGGTTGAAACTTTAGGGTGGGAGGATTGAAGGGGTGAGAATAAGGAATCATTTGGTGGGGGGAGGAGCAGGGGGGAAAGAAATGGAGTTTTGGGTGATGACCTACACAGGTTCAGAGTCACTGGAATATGAAGGGTATGACCAAGTATAAGGATGTTCGTCACTGAGTGAAGGGTGCCATTCCGCTTCCCAAAGGAGGCTGGAGATCAGACTGAAGGCAAGTTCAGGATGAAGCAGCAGGCAAATATGATTAGATGGGAGGCCCTATTTCACTATCCGTCTTCCTTCCAAAGGGTAGATGTTAGGCAGTTAAAAGAGGCAGAGCCAGAGATGAAAGTTGAACCAGATTTCACTTTTTGAGGTCTGATGTCCCGGTAGCAGAGGGCTTCCCAAGCTGGACTGGATGGAACACTCCACTCTGCCCTAGCTCTCAGCTCTTCGGAAAGGGATCATAAGATAGTGGGCTCCATTTCTTAAGCTTTGTTTTTAAAGGCCTTTTGGCTAACGGCCATCGGCCTTGGGCTTCCTGAAGGTGGGAAAATCTTTTCTGTGGAAAGCAGGGGATTGTTTCTAGAGAGACTAGGAACATTCAGGCAGACAGTCCTTAAAAGAGATCTAGATATGGCATAGGTGCCACATGATCTTACCTACCATTTCAGCGTCTTCCACTGACGATGGAGGAAAAACTCAGATGGGAGGTGGGTAGGCTGGGTAGTACTTGGTTTTCATTTGGCAGCAGATGAAGACTGAGTGGCTGGCTTAGCTTTCCTAGAGGGGGTGGAGGGGGAAGCCTTATAAATGAGTAATTCCCCTGGGCCTGGTGCCAAGGGAGTGGCCCTGAGAGAGATGCCTGAGGCCAGAGGGAGGCCTTCCACATTCAGCCTGTCCCACTATGAGAGTCCCATGTTTTAACCTCTCTGGCATGTTCTCATTAGTGGCTTGTTTGCCTCACCCCTAGGTGCCAATCATTCCTGTGGTATATTCGTCATTCTCTTCCTTTTACCATCCGGAGAAGAAAATCTTCACAACAGGTATTACATGTGACTCCTTGGCTATATATGTGAATATGTCTCTCTGTCATATCCCCTTTCCTTGATCTGTTTCTCCTTCCTGGGCTGTTACAAAGGAAGCTCTCAGGATCTGAGCTTCAGTCTAATCAGTAATATTGGTTTTGTTTTTATTGAGCCCCTGTGCCAGTTATTATAGAAAGATTTTTTACTGCAAACTCCCTTAGGTAGGCCCACAGACCCAGGCCATCTTGAATCTTTGACAGGTATTTGAAAGGAGTGAAACCCAAATTCTTTTCCCATCCCTGGGGGCATGGGGTTTGGGGTGGTGGAATAAGTCGCCTAGTTTCTCTCCTTCCCCTGTTTTACAGATAAAGAAACAGAGGCCCAAGAAAGGAAGGACCTTGGCTTGTCCCAGGTCATGTAGCTGGTTTACAGCAGGGGTGGGATCAGAACCCAGGTCTTTCAAATGCCCACACTAGTGTCCTTTCTATGGCTTGTACTTCTTAGTCAGCCCTTCTGGGCCCTGGAAGCTTGGTTCAGAGGTCTTTCCCTACAATCTGGAGGATAAACAAACTGTCAGACTTGCATCCCCTGGGGACCTAATATACATAAGGCACAGTGCTGACCTGGTATTGGTAATAGCTAGGATACTGGTAGCACTGAGCTATTCCCTGTGAGCATTCCTGTGCTTGGAATCCTGACTCTGGCATTGTATGTTCTGGCTACTTAATTCTGCCCAGAAGCTACAAATAGGTGGGCCATGGGCTGGGTTCAATAGAGAAGAAAAAAACAAGTTGAATCACTTGGAGGGATATTTTGTATTTTAAAAGGAAAAGAATTCTTTCATCCCCAAGCAGGAATTAGGTAGAACAGGGCTTGGGGTGCTTTAGGCAGCCCCATTGAGCCAGTATTTGATACTCTACAAAGCACTTTTCAGAACCATTGGCTAAAAACATCCGTGGGAGGGTGGTAGTAGGGCCAATGGTCCCCCATTTGGCAGATGAGGAAACCAAAGTAAAGAAGACTTGACTCAGTGTCCCTCTGCCTTTCTCAAGTGTAAGAAGCTTGAATTAGTCACCTATTACATAAAGCCTTCTTTGTCTAGAATTAGAACCACTGAGTTTGGAATGGCTTGGTGGATATTTTTCTTGGGTTAGAGTATCAAAGAAAATCAAGGAGGCCCATTGTCCAGGAATCACTAGAAACAAGAGGCACCTGGTGATTTTGGACCCTTAGGGGTGAAGCTTGCATGGGATGGCCCCAGATAACTTCTAGTCTTAGCATGGCTTAAACCTTTAAATACACAGACTGCTGGGAGATTAGGCCAAAGACAAATCTGGGGGAAATAGGTATCTGTCTTTTTGTCCTGTCTCTGATTGCCAAATCAGACTGTAAGCTGTTCTTCACTTGACCCACAAGTCTCCATTCCCAAGTAATGCAGGGTGATGAGCTTGGGGCTAGGGTACCTCAGTGCTGGTTTTGACTCTCTCATTATCTAGCTGTGCGTGGCTTTGGGTGTATCATCTTCTTCAAGAAGAATATAAAATGGTTGAGTTGAGGCATCTTGGTGTGGTGAGGAAAGCAGCTGGCTTTTGGAGGCAGAGAACATGGGTTTAGATCATCCCTTAACCTCCCTGGGCCTCAGTTTTTTCATCTGTAAAATGAAGAAGTTGAATTAAATGCCTTCTGAGGTTCACAGTAGTAACATTTCTGAGCCTCAGTTTCCTCATTTATCAAATGGGGCCAACAAGTTTTACCCAGCCTCCTTCCCTCCCCAAGAATTTCCATGAGGTCCTATTGAGTGATTGACAGGAGAGCACTTGAGGAAAGGTCTAAAGCCCAGCAGCAGAGCTTATTATGCATGCCCTTGCCCAACCAGAAGTGTCCAGGAGTAAAAGACTCATCTTGGCTTATGAATCATCTAACTAGGCTTCAGCCCTGCTGGTATCAGGCATACAGGAATAGCTGTACCAATACCCAAAACAACTGCTATCTTTTCTGAAGATACTTAGGGAGTCAGGGGAAGGAGAAATCCAAAGATTGGGCCCAAGCCACTGGCAAGAGTCAAGATGAATCATCACATTGGATGTGCACAGAGTACAGGGGCTATGCTGCTCCAGAAAAGCAGAATATCGACCTCCTGTTAGCCAGGGCTTCCATAAGAGGGTAAGCAGAAGGAAACCAGACCTAAGTCTGAGCCTAGCTAGTTCTGAGAGCCTGTTTCTGGGAGGAGCTCCAGAAATAGCCTTTGTGGGGATTGCCTTGGCATAGCTCATGGCCATATGGGCTCTAAAATATCCCCTCCATTCTAGGCATCTGTGCACATGTGTTTTCATCTCTGTGTATGTTTTTCGTATACCAGGGGTGGAAGAGTTGTAATATCACCTTAAGTGACTTCTCCCTCTAGCAGCCTGTGTTGTATGAATCGCTTCAGTGTCTAGCCACAAGCCTTCTCTGATCTTTTCTCTTCCAATGATGGAAGCAGAGAGCTAGATAGAAAGCCTCGGTGCAGGGCTTGGGAGGGTGGGGGTCATACTTAGGGCATGAGAACCAGCCCCCCATGACCTATTTGGGTTAGGGGAATAGGACCAGCCAAGGTACACATCCTGTGATGTTTTAAGCAAGGGCCTGACCTAAGGCACCAGAAATGCATCCAGGATGGTTCCACAGCAGTATCCACAACAGCAACAGGACATATCTCTTTCTCTGCCCTTCTTTCCAGGGAAGATCAAAGTAGAAGTGCTGGATCCAATCAAGACAGAAGGCCTGACGGTGACTGACATCCCAAAGTTGCTAGAGACCTGCCGTTCTGTCATGAGAGAGACATTTTTCAGACTATCTAACAAGCCAAATGAAAATAGGACCAATGGGCCAACCTCACAACCTATGCAGTAGCCCTAGGCTCCCTCCCCTGCCCTTCTGCCCAGGGTGAGAGCATGAACGGAGACGCCTCCCTTTCCTGTTGCCAAATGTCATGGTTTCTGCCTCCCCTGGGCTTTCATTCTGGGTCACCTTCTCCAGAGGCCCTCTTCATACCATCTTTCTTTGGACATTCCTTCTCTTGTCATCCATGGATGTGGTTTCTACACTATGCCTTCCTCCCCACAGTTGGGCCCCAAGACATCCTCTCTTTTATGTCACAAGCTGAGCAGTGAAGTCCTGTGCTATGAGTGACCCTTGCTAGCTGAACCAGATTACCATCTCTCTGGAGTTTGAGATCTTGTCTAGGTGAATGAATGACTTTTGGGGAGAATGGGGGCTGTGTGGTCTGCCTGCACTGAAGTTTAACATCCTACCCCTATCATCCTTACTCTGCCTACTGGTGTCCAGCTCAGGTATTAGGAACAAACTTTTCCAGGCTGCCATTGGCACAGCAAGTATGAAAATGCCCAACTTGCTACTTCCTTGTTCTCTGAGTCTTTCTATCTCTTACTGATCAAGTCCTGGCACTCTGGGGAGCTACAGAAAAATCCCTCTGGATGGACAGGCAGCCTACGCTGCTGGCAAAGGCCAAGACCCTCTTTAATGATGCCTGAGTTCCCAGAGACCTAAAATTAGAGGTGGCACAGCCATGTCTCTGAAATCCTTGCCCAATTATTCCTGGAACCTGGGTGGATGGTGGTGAAGAGAGATCTGTTTTATGTTAGCACTCTTACAGCAACAGACCAGGGCACACTGAGTTCAGAATGCTCTTCTTGTGTCTAAAGAGACCCTGTTCCTTAGACTGTGGTCAAGGAGAGGAGTGAGAGAATGGACTGAGCAATGAGTTTCCTCCCCTCCATGACCCAGGAGAGCTGGGCTGGCCCTCAAACCATCAGCCTGGTGGTTAGAGACATGAGGCCTTTGGAAGGAGTGGCCTGGTAGAGAAGCTGGCCTTCTGGGGACTAAAACAAGGAGGAGCTCCCCATAGATAGTGGGGTTGTTGTGGGAGGGTGGTTGAGACTCGGTGGATAGCTTGGGATTCTTCCCAAGCTAACTTTAGTCAGCTGGTCCTAGGAGATGAGAACACTGACTTTCTCTTGTGCTGAGTCTAGCTTGGTACCGCAGAGGGGACAAAGTCCAGACCTTTGCTGGGGCTATCGTGGTGGCTTCCCAGTCAGACTACCCAGATGGGTCCTGAGGAGCAAGTTTGGGGGCATGCACTCAGGCCAAATGTTCCCTTGAATCTAAGATTGCCAGGTAGTCTTTGGGGGCCAGTCTTTCAGTCTGAGGGAGGAAGGCAGGGCTGGCACTCTGTCTTTGCTGCTCGTGTTTCACAGAGGTCTTCCAGAGCTCAACATCCCTCCTCTCTTTATCAGTGTTTACAGAGAAGAAAAGAAGGATGGGAGTGGCCTGATTATCATGGGGGAGAGAAAGTTGGAGCATCTTGCTCTAAGTAACCTATTAAATCTAATAGCACTTTTACTGAGGGGATAAAGAAAAGCCAAAGGAATTGGGGAGGGTGAGAGGGGATCCTGGGGTCTCTGCAGCTCTGGGAGAGCAGCAAATGGGGTCCATGGATGCCTAGTGGGCTTCTGTTGGAAAAGTGCCTCTGCTGGTCAAGTCTAATTTTGTGAAAAATGTATGTTTGATCTAAATTGCACAATTTTTGTTTTTCATAAAGCAGTTATTTGAAAAGCTCTTGGAGTGGTAGTCACTTGTGGAAATTTTTCTGGAAGTCAAAAAGGCTTAGTTTTGGATTTGCCTACTGCAGCACTTAGGGTTTCTCTGGGTCCAAGGCACAAGGGCAGATAGATTTGAGAGGACTCCTGGCTGAGTATCTACATCCAGTCCCAGTACTTTGGCCTTTTCCAGCCCCATATCCGTGGAGACAGTCCCAAAAAGATGGCCCATCCTGGAGTGGGTGACTTCAGATAATGCCAGACTGAAAGACTCAGTGGGCCTCTAACTTCATTGGTATAAGGGAACTTCCTGAGAAGAGATAGACTCGCTACCACTTCAGGTAGCAACTCCTCAAGCAGCTTAGCATCTTAGAGAGTTGCCTGGAGCACCAAGAGATTCAGGGACCTGCCCAGCTTCCCATATCCAGTGTATTTCAGAGGTTAGTCCAGACCTTCCTGGCTCTGAGGGCCAGCTCTTTATTCCATAAGCCTCAGGGCAGAACCAGCTGGAAGACCTGGGTTCAAATTTTGCCTCTGATACATGCTGGCTTTGAGACTCTGAGCAAGGCACTAAATCTCTCAGTGGTCTAAGCAAATCTCCAACTTTTAAGTTGCAGAGAAGGGACTTATGTTGGAAGAGGGATGAAATCCCAAGTTGAAACACTATCCCATATACTACTGACCTATGGCAAAAGATCTTGTTCTGCCCTTCCCCATTCCCTAGTCAGACGTCAGAGATGGGTGTGGACCATTCAGGCATAAATGGTTCTCATGCTTTTGATGTTGGCAAAACTCTTTACATACAGACATGGTCTGATTTTATCTTCAGAAGAGCCCTACACAGACTTAAATGCCAGAGGCATTGTCATCCCCATTTTACAAATGGGGAAACTGAGGCTTAGGTTTAAGTGACATCCCCAGCAAGTGTCAGAAGCAAGATTCAAAGTCAGTTATTACCGACTTGATACAGAATCCTGGGACCAGCTGTCCTGAACTCTGCATGGGAACACACACACACACACACACACACACACACACACACACACACACACACACACACACACACACACACACACACACACACACACACACACACACACACACACACACCCCTCAGTGCTGAGGCCTAACACTCAGCTAAGCTTGGTTCATGTGATTGGGTCATTGTCTGGAATGCCCTCTAGAGATCTCACCACTCTATTTCCATGCTGACAGATGTGAGCAAGCTCATTGTGAAATTGGCAAGGTTTTTTTCTGTCCTTTGCCCCTCTCCCCATTTTGTGCCCTGCTGTTGTTGCTACTAGGAGAGTACCCTGGAGAGTACCATAGACAAAGGTGCCCAGGATTTAACATGAGCCTTTCCCAAAGAGCTTTGTGTTTTTCAAAAGATGAACTTTTCAATTAATTTAATTTCATACACACACACACATCCTCTGTGTAAGACTAATCCTTGTGACTCACTAGCCAATGAGTATTGAGCACCTACTAAGTGCCACGTGTTGGGCTAGGAACTGAGGAAGTAAAGACAAATATTAGGTAGACCCTGCCTTGTTCTCTCTGCAGATAAGCAGATTTCATCTGTTGATATTAAAAGTTTTCAATTGGCTGCTTTCGTTACAGATTTTTAACCCGTGTATTGGATAATGCCTGTTATTGAGATGATGTTTGTAAAGTACCTCGCACATAGTAGTCATTTAACAAATGTTTATTCCCTCCTTTCCCCATCTGTATAATACCAGTAATAAAACCATTTTATATGTGTTATCTTAGTTGATCCTCATAAAACCTTGTGAGGTAAGGAGTACTGCTATTATAACCTATACTTAGCCTAGATGGAAACCTAAGTTCAAACACACATATAATGTTGGAGGAAGGACTCAAGCACCTGTCTCTCTTAATCCCAAGTCTTGTATTCTTTTCCAGTATATTGGGCTTCCTACTCTTTGGGAGTGATAATTAGCATTAAGTATAATTGATCACCTTGCTAGATCAACAACAGCTTTGATGCTCTAACAAGCCCGTGAGAAGGACAACAGCCATGTGTCAAGCAGACCATGCGTGAGGGGAGCTAAGGTACCTCTTCAGGGCATCCCCCACATCTTAGAGTAGTTTTAAGCTACCAAAACTTATTCAACAATAGCAAAATCTTTGAAATGTAGGAAGTTAGAAGCCTCATCTGGTTTCTTTCAGTGGTGTATTTTTACTGCATGGTTGCATTCTCAGGAATGAAGGGCTACCCCAGGAAACATCAGGCCTCCAATATTTTTCCTCCTTATGTGGCTTTTCCTCCCCTCTACAAACAAGCATTGATTTAGCACTTACTGTGTGCCAAACACTATTCTAGGTGCTGTGGTTGCAAAGATTAAAAATAACATTCTCTTTGCTGTCTTGAGAGCTTATGTTCTAGGGGGTGGGAAAGAGATACAACATGCACACATAAAAATATGAAATCTGGTAGAGTGTAATAGGGACAAAGGGGAGAGATAAAGTACTCAAGGAAAATTTCAGAGAGGACATTCAGCTGGGAGATGGGAGGGGTAAGGTGGACGGGCTCTGGGAGGCCTTCAGAGAGGAGGTAGCACCAATAGCCTTTTCTTAGAAGGAGGAGAAGGCTGAAAGCCTTTTGAGAAGCAGGAGTAGAAGCTTAACCTTTGATACACAGACAAGGCAGCTGTGCCAGGCTATCTCAGGGATCAGGGGAGGAACCTTAAAGGTCCTCTAGTCTGAAGATCATAGCTCAATCTGCAAATGTTTATGGTGAGTTTCCCATGTGCCAGGCCCTGAGGATACAAAGAATGAAACAATCCCTGCTCTCATGGGGCTTACAATTTAACTGGGGAAACAAGTACATGTATAAGTATGTGTTGAATAAATATAAAGAAAAGCAAAAGTAAATTCAGGGTAATTTAAGGAAGGATGGCACTAGCAACTAGGGGCAGGGGTGGGGACATAAGGAAAGACTTCATTTAGGTAGAAGATGCTGTTTGAGGTTTTTTTTTTTGCTAGGCAATGGGGTTAAGTGACTTGCTCAGGGTCACACAGCTAGTAAGTGTTATGTGTCTGAGGCCGGATTTGAACTCGGGTCCTCCTGAATCCAGGGCTGGTGCTCTATCCACTGTGCCATCTAGGTGCCCTGTTTGAGTTTCATTTTAAAGGGAAAGAGGGATTCTTTGAGGTGGAGGTGAGTATGAAGGAAGTGAATACAAAAGCAAAGATGGGGTGCAGTGTGTGTGGAAAGACCAGTTTGGATTGTAGAGTATGGGAAGAGGGAAGAGGCTGGGACCAGTTTTTCAAGGGCCTTAAAAGCTACGTAAACAGAGTTTGTATCTGCTCCTAGAGGCAATAGGGAGCTACTAGAGTGTATTGAATAGGGGTGAGATAATCAGATTTTAGCTTAAGAAAAAATTACTTTAGCAGTCGCGTGGAAGATGGACTGGAGCCCAGGTGCAGGGAGTCCAAATGTCCATAGGTCGTAGATGGGGTAATAGGGTTGATCTGGGAGGGACCATCCTGGCTTATCCAGATTCCTCCTCCTCTCCCCAAAGTCCATCAATGTCATATTCCTCTGTTTCTTGGGTAGCTTTAAGTCCTAACCCTATTGCAGTTTTCTGTCTTCCTGGTTCAGGATGCTTAGCCCTCATCCTAAGATCCCCTTTGGAGGGAGGTGAGTTATGCCTCTTAACACCTTATAACTGAGGACAAATTCTTGGACCCTTGACCTGAAAGTGCCCAATGAGTTTGTTCTATAAGACTTGGCAGCTTGGGACTGTACAGTAGGCAATGTAGCAACTGATAAAGTATTTCATTTGTGCCTAGAGGCAAAGAAGGGATTGGGAATCCTAGGATGTCCTGGCTTCCTAAGCACACAGTCTTAACATACAAGAAACAAAGGACGTTTGCAACTGTTTCAGCTTGAGCCAGTGTCTTAGAGTTGCATTTATGTATCAGTTTATGAAAAATCTATCATTTTGTTAGCATAGGCATTTCCATCATGGAAACCCCCTCTACTAAGGCTAATCATGATCCTGATGGATCAGACAATTGTTAACTATAGGTAGAAAAGACATTTAAGATCATCTGTTCCAGTCCTCTCCAGCAGACTGGTGAAGGCTACGGATGCCTTCTCTCAATATTTTTAAATATGTAAAATAAAATACATAGGATTACAAAGGAAACCAATTATGTTGAAATAAAGATGTAAGTTTTTTCCCATCCATATTGATGAATCCCCCCTTCCCCTCGAAATCCACAGGCCCTGGAGATCCAGGTACACCCAGTTAAGAATCCCTGACTAGTGCAACCCCTAGGAAATGCCACCTACAAAGACTATGACTGAAGATGGTATAGAGTGAGAATTGGAAGGGAATGTAGAGATCATCAGGTCAAACCCCTTTCATGTTACAAATGAGGAAGCTGAGGCCCAGAGAGATTAAATGACGTTGCCCTGGATTGTAAAGCTAGCAAGTATCTAAGGCCAAATTTGAACTCAGGTCTTACTGACCCCAGGCCTGGCACTCTATCCACTGCACCACCTAGCTGCTCTGAGTGTGTGTACGTACATAGATAGATACATACGTAGATGTTATACATGGGTATTCATATATATGACCAAAAGTGATCAATGCCCAATAGATAAGTCAAAGACATGAATAGCTCTCAAAAAGAATTGCAAACTATTAACTCTATGAAAGAACGCTCCAAGTCAAAATAAACCTGAGGTTTTACCTCACATCCTACAAATTGGCAAAGATGAAAAAATGGGAATACTCAATATTGGAGGGTTTGTAGGAAAATAGGCATACTGATACATTGTTGGAGTATACAGCACCAGGCCTGTAGTCAGGAAGACCTGAGTTCAAATCCTACCTTAGACATGTACTAGCTCTCTGACCCTGGGCAAGTCACTTAGCCTTTGCATGCCTCAGTTTCTTCTTCTGTAAAATGGGAATAACAATAGCATCTACCTCCCGGGGTAGTTGTAAGGATTAAATAAGATAATAATTGTAAAGCACTTAGCATAGTGCCTGGCTCTCTCTGAATTTTATCTATTATTATTGGAGCTGTGAATCAGTACAACAATTTTGGAAAGCAATTTGGGATTATGCAAAACAAAATGACTAAAATGTTTGTATCCTCTGACCTAAAGATTCCACTCCTAGGCTTATATCCCAAGAAGGTTGTTGATAAGGAGAGAGGCTTCATATACACGAAAATATTTATAGTAGCACAGAATAGATGCCAATCGATTGGTGAATGACTAAACAAAATGTACATGAATGACTGTAGTGGAATATTACTACTGCGCTCTAAGAATGATGAACACAGAGAAACATGGAAGAATTTATACAATTTGATACAGAGGGAAGTAAGCAGAGCCAAGAAAATATGCCCAGTGACAACTATGAAATGGAAAGAATGACCACAAAGCAATTGAAAGTGAATGTTGCAAAATTACCCAGAAGCAGTGGGATTCCAAAAAAGATAGGGGAAGGCATCTGCATCCCTGCTCTTTTGAAGAAGTGAGAGGTCCAAGAGCAGTACATTGTACATATTTCAGATTTTTTTCATATATTGATCAGTTTTGCTTTTTTTCTTTTAAAAATATTGTTATATGGGATGGTTTGGGGTATGGGAGGGGGAGGGATACAGGGAGAAACTTTGGTGATTTTTTTTTAAAAAGTTATCAATAAAAATTTATGTCAGAGAAAGAGTCACATGAACCTCTGTTATCTCCTATCCTCTCAGTGACCTTTTGAAGAAAGTATCTGGGTCATTTTAAAAATGGAAAAACAGAAGCCCAGGAGATTTAGACAGTCCTGAGGTAGTTGATGACCCAGGTTTCCTGACTCCTAGTCCAGACCTGGCCTTCATATCTGCTCTCAGGGCATGTGCTCCTTAAACACGTGCCACATACACAAAGTGACTCAGTTCCCTTTAGTGAATTTGTATCTTGCTCTCCCACTGGAGAAGCTTCCCTGGTGATACTTCCCAGTATCGTGTTCATGCCCATGTTCCTACTGGCAAACACCTGTATAGCTAGTGCCATGGTACGTGGCATGGAGTGACTTTTCTCTGTCTTCCCAGAGTCTAGCAGAGTAGAAATGGTCATGCTCCAAGGGGCTTGGGCTTGCTTCCTCTCCCCCAGCCACAAAGCGACCTTGGTTCTGAAATAGCAATGGATGAGGCAGGCTGCCCCACTACACACACACACACACACACACACACACACACACACACACATTTCCCTGTCACCCAGCTCCAAATTCCAAAGGAAAAACATGAGGGTCAGTCTAGCCTTCAAGTAGACTGACAAAATCATTGTGTTTTTAAGGCCTAGTGAGCATGGCCAGGTGCCATGGTGCTGCAGGCTCCTAGTTATATTTGCACTCAATTATCACAATCTGATAACAGTTTGGTTTTTATTTTTGCAAAGGTTAGACTAGACACAGCATTAAACAAATACCAGTTATTTCTGGATGGATTGGTCCCTGGAGGCAGTGAGATGCAATTGTACTATTTTACCCACTGGGCACTGCTGCCCTCTTAACTTCCCTGAGTTGAGGGTGGGGGTGGGGGTGGGGGTAGGAGTGGGCCTCCCCTCCTCCTGCCTGTCTTGAAGCCAGAAGCCAGACACCAGAATGGTAGCAGAAGGTCAGTAGGGAAGAGATCGCGTACCTTCGCCTGGATGCCGTGGACAGCTTGCTCTTGGCTAGGTCCCGGATGACGAATGGTTGAGTCATCCAGTTGCTGGTGGGCGGGCTGCCCTCACACACAAGCTTAGAATAGACTTTGGCACTGGTTGTACCAGAGGCGGGGGCTGCTGTCCGAGTAGGGAGCAGCTTTAAGAGCAGGGAGGGAAGGACCGCATTGGAGGCGGGGCTAATCAAGGCTCAAGATGGGGCTCCCTACCTTGGCTCAGGTCACAGTACAAATGGGGACAAGGTTGTGAGCTCAATTCCTGGATCAGATTCACATGGGAGGAAAAAAAAGACCAACTCCTTAGACACAGACTGCATGCTTGACTTGATGTCACACAACTTTTTTGTGAGCTGTTTGATAATATCAGGGAATAGGAAATACTGCATGGCTTGGGTCAGCTTATCCCCATTGTGGAAGAAACAAATTAGCTCACATCCTGTGACTGGTGGCTCAGGATGTGCTCCATCATGGGGTGTTGTGGAGGGGAGATTGAACTGGGCGATCCCTAAGGAACCTTCCAACTTCAGGGTACTGTGGGCCTATGATCTCCACATATATGTAGAGAATGACTCCAATAGCTGTCATTTAGATAGCACCTGAAGGTTTACAGAGTGCTTTGTATACATAATCTGCTTTCATCCTTACAACAACCCTGTGAAGGAGGTCACTTCAGGTATCAT